TGGTTGATTTCCTCAGCCAATCCATTGGCTTGTGGGTGTCGACCAGACGTCATGTTTAGTGTGATGTCATAGACTTGGGCAGTGAAGTCCTTCCAATCCTTGCTAATGAACCTAGTGTCCCGATCACTCACAAGAGTTTTCGGGGGCCCATACTGCAKRATGTACWGCTGGTGAAATTYTTCGATCACCAGTTCAGTTGGGGCATGAGGAGGTAAGGGAATCAGATTCAAAAATTTAGAGAAGCGATCCACAATGACCATGACTTGTGAATTCCCGGCCGCACTCACCTTTCCCATGTCCGTGAAATYGATAGAGACYGATTCCSCGGGACCATCAGGGATTGGGAGGGGTCTCAGGAGGCCATAAGGCTTATGCCTGTGGACCTTAATTCTTTGACAGACTTGACATTCAGCAATGAACTTCTGAGCAGATCCCTTCATCCCCGGCCAGTCAAACTGTTGGAGAAGACTTGCGTAAGTCTTCTCAAAGCCAAAGTGTCCACTCCGACCATGTGCCAGATCCAAGAAATGAGTCTGGAGAGGTGCATGGTTAGGAACACACAAGCGATCGAATTTCCCATACCGGCGGAATACAAGACCATCGCATTCATGAAAATCAGGCTGGTTGTTAGGGTCAGCCTTGAGCTGCTCAAGGATAGGACTCAGGTCCGGGTCCTTGGCGGTGTGTTCGGCGAGATCCTCCTTCAGTTGCGTGCGGAGGTCGTATGAATCCACCAGGCAAGTCAAGTACTCGGGATGGCGGGATAGAGCATTAGCAACGCGATTATAGCAGCCTTTCTTATGCTTCAAATCAAAGTTGAAAACATCAATATCATGCAACCAGCGGGTCAGCGTAGAAGAAAGATCAGTTTGTGTCTTAATCCACTGCAAGGTCTGGTGATCTGAATAGACCTTGAAGTGGCGACCCAAGAGGTAGTGCTTCCAATGCGTGAGCGCCTCGCGCAAGGCGTARAGCTCTCGCATGTATGTGGAAGTGGCTACCTTGTGGCTGGGCATGCGTTTGCTGTAGTACTCAAGCGGACGCCGGCCATCGCCATCATCTTGTTGCAGCACTGCACCAATCCCAAACTGGCTCGCGTCCGTAGTAACTACGAACGTGAGGTTGGGATCCGCAATGCGGAGCACAGGATGACTCACCAAAACCTCTTTCAAGGCTTGGAACGCAGTCTCACACTTTTCACACAACACATAAGCAACATTCTTACTCGTCAGGCGGGAAAGTGGGTGAGAAATGACAGAAAATTTAGGCACAAACTTCCGATAATAAGAGGCTAAACCAAGAAAAGAACGCAGCTCGCGTACATTTGCCGGTTGAGGCCAGTTGC